TGGGGCTGTGCCTGTGCACCTGCCCCCGCCTCTGCTGCTGCCTAATTATTTCTAGTTCATTAAGAGCCTCGGGATCGCTGGCTGAGCCGAGCGCGTGATGTCCCCGCCGCCGCCGGGCTGACCCGGAGCTCCGGGCACCTGCCGAGCCCGGGGGATGCTCACAGCGTTCGGCTGTGGGGTGACAGCGATCCCTGCGTCGTCAGGCCTTTAAATGAGCATCATTAGATCTTCCGAAAACAACCTCATCACGGTGGAAGCCGGGCTCGTTTCGCAGACGCCATCCCCGCACCGGGGTGTGTGTGTGTGTGTGTGCGCGACGTGTGATTTTGGGTGAGATGCCGAGGTTTAGGGGAAGGGAAGCTGTCCCCGGCTGTCCCAGCAGTTCCTCATGCTGCAAGGAAATGAGGGGCTGGCAGTGTGCAGCCAACCTTCCCGAGGCTGCTCGCTGTGCTCCCGCCCACCCTCTCCCCTTTTTGGGAGCGTTCTCCCAGCGCGGTGAAGGTTGGCTGGTGATGCCAAGGGAACCTCTTGCTGATCAGGGTCACAGAACCGTTTGGGCTGGAAGGGACCTTAAGGCCCACCTTGTTCCACCCCGCCTGCCATGGGCAGGGACAGCAATGAACAATTAAAACATTGTCCTTCTGATTTCTTTGTCGCTTTTCTGTTTCTAGGGAGGGTAGAGGGTTGTAGCTCAGGACTAGACAAGGTGTCTGTGGAGACTGTTGCTCAGCAGGGGTTTAAGCAAGGAGCATGTGTTTTCCGTCTTCCCTGAGCAAGTAAATCTGAATTTATGAACCTGTGGGCTGTCGTACCTTACGCTGATAGTAAAAAAAGATGAAACGGAGTCAGTAACCTCACCGAAGCTTTGATTTCTGGAGTCAGGTTGCTTTTACTCCTCACTTGGGTAGCGTCCAAATTGTGTCACTTGGCCTCAGCCGCACTTGCAGCTGGAGCTCCCGGGGGGCTGGGGACAACCCGCAGGGCAGCCCGGGAGTGTTTGCTGGAGGAGAGCAAAACCCCCAGGGGTGGAGGTGGCCCTTGGCGGGGTGTGCAGAGGCACAGCTGCACCCGCACGGGGGGGGCTGTGCTGTGGGTCTGGGGCCGTCCCTGCGCTCCGTGGTCTGAACTGGGTGACAAACCCTGTTCAGCACATGCAGCACTGGTGCCTTTGCTGCTGTTTGGAGCAGCGGTGGAGGTGCTGAAGTGCTCGTGGCACACCTGTACAGGTGCTTCGTGCTGCTTGCCTTGTGCTCACCACTCTGCCTGCCTGTGCTGTTGATGGAAGGTCACCAGCACAGCTGAAACCTGCTCCTGGCTGGAGAGGAGGTGGTGTGTGCTGTGCTCTGAATGGAGGTGAGGGGTTAATCCAGAGAGAGGGGTGGTGTGTGCTGTGCTCTGACTGAAAAACCTGGCAGGGTTAATCCTGACTGTGGGTCAGGTCAGCAAAGACCTTCCCCAAGCACTCAGTAAATATTGAAGGGAGCCAGTTAGTCTGGTACAGGAGCAAAACTGGATGGAGGAGAGGGACTGAATCAGGGAAACCTTGGCAGTAGTATGACTTAAGGTACAGAGAGTGTTCTGAAGGGAACTTTTGGAAATCTCATACTTTGAGGGACCAAACCTCACTTGGTGCCAGGATCTGGGCTCATGCATGAACACAGAGGCCCAATTTGTCACTTTCTGAGACCTCGGCTTTGAGGTTTTAAAAAGTTTTGTGTTTGAAAAGCGAATTTCAAAAAATCAAGTGTGTGCAATGTCTGCTGTGCCTTCTCCCTGAGTGTGCACCCTCATGGCCTGGGAAGTGGCTGCAGGGAGTGTAAGGGGCTGTTCCTGGGTTCTGGTGAGCTGTTGGCAGGAGCAGAGACACAGTATGTGTGGGGGGGTTGTTCAGGCTGAGGTGCCTCAACCACAGGAACAGTTGGGTGAGGAGATGGCACATCCCCATCCCCTCTACCTGGGTGCAGCTGGAGGCAGAGGTCTGGAAACCTCCTTTTTTCCAAGGGGGGGGTCAAGTTATGCAAGAGCTGTTATTGCAAAACTGACAGCAGAGCTGGTCTCCTTCATCTCCTTGCTAAAGTGGGAATTCTCAGGCTGATGGGGAGGTAAAGCTGACATTGGACTTATTTCCATTACTCAGGTCTCTTGTTACACAGGTTGCTCTCTGCCCATCACTTGTGGCCCAGAGCTGGGGCAGAAGCTTCCAATGTGTTCTTCAGGGTTGGATTCCTCTGCTTTAGGGACCTGAAGTGATTTAACAAGGATTTACACTCGTGTTGGACAATTGTCTTGCTGTCCCTGGAGCTGGAGGAGTGAAGTGCAGATCCCAGCCCCAGCCAGGTGTGCTGGTGGTACCTCTGTGGCCATCTCCAAAAAGCACTGGGAGAGTCCTGATTGCAACAGCCCAGGAACGGTTCTGCAGCTCTTCCCCCTTCACAGTGATAACTTTGAAGTGACTTTTGAAGGGTGGCTGGAAGCAATTTTTCCAGTGAGCAGATTAGAGATAAGAGAAGAATTCCACCCTGTGGGGCATAAGCAGTTCAATCCATACCAACGGGGATGGAGAGGGGAAATTGGAGAGAGCTTATCAGCTTGAGGAAAAATCAAATGTAAACATCATCCCCAGCATGATTATGGTTCACAGCTTAGTTTGATGTCACATGCCTGTGTGCCGTGAAATGGTGCTGGCGAGGATGATTACAGAGGGAGTCAGCCAGGCAGGAACAGGCAGAAAAACACCCTGTGCCTTGAACTTTTACAGACCCTGCAGTTACTTCACAATCAATAAGTCGCAGCTCAGCTGCAGGGAAAGAGGAAGGCAGTGGAAATAGAATTCAGGCTGCTCTGGCAAATTAATTGTTCTCTAAGATATGAATCAGCTGGAAGCACACAGGGAAGCTGGGGTGATGGGCCTGGGAGCTGGGAAGGGCAGGGAGATGTGGGCACTGCCCGGGGGATGCTGAGCCCGTCGGTGTCCGTGTCAGGACAGGCTGGAGAACGAGTCCCCAGGAACGCAGGGCAGGGAGTGATTAATCTAATTTTCATTAACCAGCATTTGGCACTGACCTGTGTGTAACAGCCTGTTCCACCACTGCTGGGGCTGGGCCTGGCAGAGCTGCCACTGCCACGTCCCACTTGGGAGGCTCCTGGGCCTCTCCAGAAGGGCTCCTCAGGGAACGACCTGAATGGATTCGCTATGAGCAGTGCATAATTTGGGAACTATTGAAGTGATTCACTGACATGACCATTATGGGCTCTTGCCAGATGACAATCTTAATAAATATGGTTTTCCCATATAAGGTGGTTGCAGCCTGAAAAGCAGCAGCAGGAATTCCAGCACTCTCTTCCTTCATGGACACATCTTTGAGTCGGCACCAGTCGAGTCCAGAAATAGTCCTGCCACAGCTGTGTGATACCCTGACAAAGACTCGAGAGCCCTTCTCATCCCTTGCTGCTTCAGCTTTGTCATGTTTGTTTGTTCCTATCCATCCTTTTGGGCTGCCAAGCTTATTCCCTTTACCATGATTAATCTACCACTCCTGGCAGGTGCCTCGCCCCTGACATGGATGTGGTACCCTGTGCTTGCTGGGACCTGCTGGCATGAGATCAGTTCAGCTGTGCATGTGGGAACTGCAGGTGTTATGTGGGGATCATTAACTTGTGACTCAAAAATCAGAAACTGTTGCACCTTTTGCACTGCACTGTGGCATGTCAGAAGCAGAGTGGAAGTGAGAAATGTTTGCTAATCCCAGTGCAAGGAGTGTTGGCTGTGCTTGGGTGGGAGTGAACAATCAGTGCTCCCTCCAGCAGCGTGGAGACAGAGCTGCTCGTGGTGTCACTGGCAGAAGATGTTCCCTCTTCCATCCTGGCTGCAGGAAAGCGGGAGCCAAAGTGGGTCCTGCCTTCCTGGATGGTCTGATCCCATGGGTGCACCCTCCTGGATCTTGCCCAGAGCCTGAGGTGCCAGGGGGCTGATGGGGGCACTGGGTATCAGAGCAGGCTGCTGGTTTTTGGGCATGCTCTCTGGTTTAACACAGAGGCCTTGGCACCTCTTTTCTTAAAGATCTGTGTATGGGGAGAGGAGTGACTGTGAATGTTTGAATCATAGAATCCCAGAATGGCTTGGAAGGGAGCTCATCTCATCCCACCCCCCTGCCATGGGCAGGGACACCTTCCACTAGACCAGGTTGCTCCAAGCCCCATCCAGTCTGGCCTTGAAACTCATAAATAGCAGCAGAACAGCAGGAGATGGCTGAAGTGGGGTGTTTTCTTTCCTATTAAGTCTTTCCAAGTCTCCAGCCAAGACCTCTGATAGGCCCCTTTAATTTGTTTAATAACCCAGTGACAGTGTTGTTGTCCTTCAGCCCTCTCCCAGGCCTGCAGGCTGGGTCGCCTTGTGACTAAGAAATTATGTTCTTGGGCATGTTCACATCAGACAGACTGACTGATCAGAAGCTATTTTGAAGCATTATGCAGGTGCAAAGCCCCAGTTGTTTGGTGTGGATTTCCAATAAGTAGCTACTGTTATATATATATATACACACACACATCTTCATGGTATTTTGCCATTTCTAAATCCATCTGTGGCAAGTGCAGGAACTCAAAGGAGCAAAATACTGTTGTTTTTTTGTAAGCCTGGCAAAGCAGAACTCCCAGCCAAGCACACTCTGGGTGTTTGCTGCCTGCTGAGGGTGTGTGTACAGCCACTTGTGTTTTCCTCTAATAGGAAGGATGCTGGGATGAGGACACGTGCTGGGAGGAGCCCCTCACGAGGGTGATGGCTGTTCCACCACGGGAATGCCCATATGGCCTGGAAAAGACAGGAGCACAGCAGAGGGGGAAATCAAGGCACTGCAAGGGCCTGGAAGCCAAAGGCTGTTTAATGCTGAAATGAGACAGCAAAAGCACCAGAAAGAAGAGGGTCATGTAAAAAACCAAAGTCATGGCTTTTGTGAAGTGGGTTTGGTCTTGATCCTCATCACCAGGGACTGTGTCAGCAGAGCCTGGGTGTTGCTCACCTGCCCGCATGGGGAGTGTGTGCCAAAGGAAAAGCATCTGCTGGCTTTCCCAGGCTCTCCACCTCCTCCCCGGGTGGCTCACAGGCAGAGTCCCTGGAGGGGGAGCCTGGCCTCTCCAAGAGCCCTGCACGAGCCAGTGATCATAAGGTGATGTTGGGGTTTTGCCTTCTTTAGGTAGGTCTCAGTTCCTCAGGAGCCTGGCACTTGTTTGTTTGAGTTTTTCAGTGTTGCCAATAGCTGAGTTAACCTCAGGACTTTCTGGGAAGCGTTTTCTGTAATTAAAAAGCTAAAAGTGATCAGAGAAGCTTTTCTGTCACTTCGTCTCCTCACCCACATATTTAGCAGAAAATACTGTCAACCCCTAATTAAGCGTCGTCTTCTTCCATCGTGTGTTCTTGTGGCTTCCCCAGCTTACGTGTGGGTTTTGGCACTGGCTTGTGGTGATTAACCCAGGCTGAGTCAGAGACGTGCTGTGGTGGGTAGGGAACTGGAGCCTTTGACATGCTGGGTTGCCCTGGGTGTTCACAGCCTGGCCAATGCTGCTGGTCACCACAAACCATGGTGGGAGAGGCTCCAGGAGAGGCTGTGAGTCTTTGAGCTACCCCTTTGCTTCTCTTCCAGCTTTCTTTGGATACAGCAAACCCAGTGCTCTTTTCCTAATTCTGCTTAAAAAAACAGACAAGTGTACAACTAGGGAGTCAGTGTGTGATGTGAAGGGTTCTCTTACTGTCTTTACTGTGACACAGAAGCAGGCTGGAGTAGTTGATGTCTGAAGAGCAGCAGTGTTATTTTATAGCATGGAGATGGCGTGTTCTTTAGAGATGCGTCTCTGGCAGATGCCTGTGAGAAGAGCTGTCCCTCTGGATAACTGCTCAGCTCTGCAGCCTTTGGATCTGGAGTTGCAGAAAACAAACCTCACCATGTCCAGCCACTGCCTGTAATGGTTTGCAGACTCAGCGAGAGGGCCCAGTCGTCATGTCCTTTTTAATCAGCAGTATCTGCATGTTCTCTTTGCAGAAATTGTTACTGGAAGGGGTGGGAAAGACTTCCTGGGAGAAAAGAGAAGTTGGAAACCAGCTGTTTGCTTCTCTGACGCTTCCATCATTGCAGACCTGCCTGTTGCATGAGGAGTGTTTGGAAGGCAAGGGCCCACGTTCCAGGAGCACACCTGTAGCTGCTCCTGCTGCCCAAGGCACTCGTTGATCCAGCAAAGGGAACCAGGTCAGGCCTGGGGTTTGTCACAAGACCAGCCTGGGCAGGTCCACATCTGCGACTGAAAGGGCCTGGAGATTAGCTGAGCATGGGAACAGCACAGGCAGCAGTGCCTTTGTTCTGGGTGAAACAGCTCAGTCTCCTATACTGGGAGGAATTAATGGATTACAAGATGAGGGCAGCTTTGCCTTGTTTGTGGTCATTAAAACACAGCAGTGCTGCTGGGACGGTGCTGCTGGCGCCGGGGACGGTGGGGAGCTCAGTGCCCGTGAGACTCCACTGAGCTCAAACGCTGCTTTTCCCTTTACTGCACAATGTTCCACCTCTGCCAGCCATGCAGGGGATGAGGTTTGATCCAGCCTTTGCCATGTGCTCCAGCTTCCACCATTAAGGCTTTCCTACCCGTGTTCTGGACGTGCCAGGGTCCCGTTGATTCCTCAGGAGCTCTCACATGGGGTGGGTGGCTCCTGCAAAATGAGTTTCCTGTGCTCCGAGGGTCTGTGTAGCCCAAGTAGTTGTTAACTCTTCATTTAAACCCAGTGATGCTTTCTCTGACAAAGCTCTGTCAAATGACTGACTCTTCCCATTCGAGTTGTCTGTGTTCCTGTGCCGTGGCAGACACCCCCTAATGTCTTCTCCAGAAGATCTGGTAGTGCTTTGACCTCAACCAGCTCCCGGAGGAAAGGGAGTGCTGGGCTGGGAGCCAGTCGGGTCTCTACTCCTTCACTGAATTTAGGAAATCAGAGTAATTCCGCAGCTGTTTCATGTTTTTTCCGTAGGAGGCAAGGAGATCTGCTGCTTTTGGGACCGGGGAGCTGAGTTCACAGTCGTTTGGCAGGGCCGGTGTTGGAAGCTTGTCCTTAGTGTGACCCAAACTCTGGGCACATCAGGATGCTGCCCCTCAAAATGGGCATCTTGGATGTGTGAAACTGTGTTGGTGACCATGTTGTGGTTCTGCAAGGGTAGAATTAGTCAAGATTGTTTTGCCTGTTCACTTGCTGCCTGACAAGATGTTGTTTAAATTGCCATTTAGATTTTTTCTTCCCTTTGGAGTTTGCCATTCTCAGTTGCTGTCACCCCAAGTACATGAAAGTCCAGATCTCCAAGGGCTGAGGTGACCACTGAGACCAGTGAAGCACAACCTGATGGAGCTGAGGACTGACACAAAACCAGCGTAATCTCCATTAAAACAGGATTGTTTGCAGAATCAGTCTCTTGGGAGTTCAGGCTTGATGCCCAGACTTGCTTTCTGCCTCCCTGGTTAAGGCTGGGTGCACCCCATGGTGGCATGTGCCACCTGGGCAGAGGGTTCCTGCCAACCCTCATGGGGCAGGAAGGCCAGGGAGGAATAGGGTAGGGAGAATAAAAGCAATTCTCCTGTGTATTTAAAGTAGGAGTAATGTAGGTCACCTTAATCTGTTCTCCCTCCTCCCCTTCCCGTGGGATGGGAGAACATCCCGGCCATGTGCTGCAGGGGATGGTGAGGTGGGACCACCCTCGCCTTGCTGCTGTCTACTTGTGGAGCATCCTGTGACCTAGGCAGGCTTCTCTTTTATTGCCTGCCAAAAAAATCAAATAAAGCTCTCCAACAGTAGGGCAGAGCAGTGTTGTTTTTGTGCGTGACATGTATGGCTTCAAGGTGTTCCCGGTTATTTTTTAGGGTGGAATTCCTGATTTGTGGGTGGAACTGTGATTCTGTTTAAAGGACAAATTAACAGCATCCTCCTGAGCTTGTAGGTATTTACCTGGTTTTTCCTCAGCTGCAGTCACTGCACTGCTCCAGACACTGTTCTGGTGCTGGTCCTGTCAGCTCTCTGGTGATTCAGTCGGCTCAGACGGGCTCCATGTGGATTTTCATCTCATTCAGGGCTGTCTGAGCTCAGGTAATTAAGGCCACTTGACACCAGTTTGAGCAACTTGAGTGGGAGCAATTTGGGCTGGTGCATGAATACAGCCCACAAAGGGTTCAGAGCACTTGAGGAGTATTTTTATGTAATTGGCAAGTTTTGAGAGATTTTATGAAATCCTTCCAGAGCTCAAGACTCATCTCCAAAGTCCTGCAGTGCTCCCAGCAGACAGCAGTGCCTGAAACCAGGGAGTCATAGAATCATAGAATGTCCTGGGTTGGAAGGGACCCACGAGGATCCTCAAATCCAACTCCTGGCCTGCACAAGACAACCCCAGGAATCCCACCCTGTGCCTGAGAGCGTTGTCCAAATACTTCTTGAGCTCTGGCAGAGTTCAGGTGATCTCAGCCACGTGCACATCAGTGATGGAAGCACCAGCAGCAGTGTGTCCTGCTCACATGCTCTGTCAACAGATCTTGGGGGGTCACTGAGATGGGACATGGCTGGTTCCTGCTCTTGGAGCCCACTCAGTTCATTACTGAAGTGGATCCCACAGAGGGGGCAGCACACCTCTGGTGTCTACTGATTTTACTTGAGGTTCTGAAGAACCAAGGGGTTGAAGAAAAACCTTCAGGCTTGGCATAAGGCCTAGAAACACAAGTGTGCATTGTACAAAGTAAAATGAAGGTGATGATCTGGAGCCTCCCACGGCCACCGGTCAGGTCTTCCCACTGGATGCACCACTGTCTTCTGAGTGTAGGGTGGGGAACTGGGACTCACATTGGCTTTGTGACACTGGTGGTATTTACCACGTGGGTCAATGGGCAGAGAGGGAAGAGCCCTGGGCAAGGCAGAAGGGATGGAGTTTGTTAATTGCTCTAAAACATCCGGGAAAATGTGCCCACGTCTTCGTGCTGCCATGTCGTGTTTGGTGCATTCCGTGACCTGGGCAGAGGCACAGGGAAATATTGCCAATGGTGTGGGCAGGATGCAGCAGCTGATGACAAAGATGCTGCGGTAGTTTTCTTTCTGTAGTTTCTCTGCACATCTGATGGACCAGATTTTGTGGATTTTTCAGGGCAAAATTGTCCGTTGCTGCATTTTTCAAAGAGAGGCAGCTGGCTAAAATCCTCCTCTGGCTGAGTGCTCCTTCCCTGAATGTGCTGATAGCACTTCAGCAGGCACAGTCACTCCAGTTGGATGCTGATGTGCAACTTTGTTCTCTCTCTGCTTTCCTGATTCCACAGCTTGTGTTGGTGTAGCTGGTTCAGCATCCCTGTACCAGAGGAAGGGGTGGTGTGCTCGGTCCCACGTGCAGCGGGGAGGGCAGATGTAATACCTGAAACCGCTTGTCTTCTCTCTAAATGTCACTTTTAGCTGAGTATCATCTGCAAAATGACAGTTTTCCTCCTCTCTGTACGTGTTGGGTGCTGCTCTCTCCATCTGGCTGCTGCATGTTGACGGGGGCAGTGTACAAAACAGCAGAGAATTTGCTGGCAGAAATGCAAACTATAGAGATGTAAAATAGTCCCTGACTTCAAAGCTGGAACAGAGAGAGCAGAAAATGAAGCTGAAGTCTCGAAGCTGTGCTTGTCACTGTTAATGACATGCTCAGTTACAGGCACTTGCTGAGGTGGAATCTAGAAATAAGGCCCAGTTTTTCAGTTTGGCCTAACAGATGGGGATTATTTGGGGTTTAAATAGCACATTATGAGGTGATTTTTGTGTTGGTAAGGACTTTTGTTCAGTGATAAGAGCTGAAATCTAGAAGGCTAATAATTGCCTTTGCTTAATTTAATGCTTTTTTTGCCGTTAATTCATCCAGTCCAACCCCTGCCCTGCCCAGGACACCCCAACAATCCCACCCTGTCCCTCAGAGCGTTGTCCAAACGCTCCTGGAGCTCTGGCAGCCTTGGGGCCGTGCCCACTGCCCTGGGGAGCCTGGGCAGTG